CAAAAGATTACCATCACCAACGACAAGGGTAGATTATCCAAAGAAGATATCGAAAAGATGGTTAACGAAGCTGAAAAATTCAAGGAAGAAGATGAAAAGGAAGCTGCTAGAGTTCAAGCCAAGAACCAATTGGAATCATATGCCTACTCATTGAAGAATTCTTTATCAGAAGAGCAATTCAAGTCCAAATTGGATGCTTCCGAAGTTGAAGAAGTCACCAAAGCTGCTGACGAAACCATCAGCTGGATCGATGCCAACCAAACTGCCACTCAAGAAGAATACGCAGACCAACAAAAGGAGTTGGAATCCAAGGCCAACCCAATCATGGCTAAGGCTTACGGTGGTGCTGCTCCAGGTGGCGGTGCTCCAGGTGCTGGTGGTTTCCCAGGTGGTGCTCCAGGTGCCGGTGATGCTGCTCCAGAATCATCTGGTCCAACTGTTGAAGAAGTGGATTAAATGTGATAGAGAAGTTTTGCTAATGAAGAAATCCCCTGTTTTATTATTTGATGATAGAGCTGGTTTTTACATGAATATAGTTTTTAGTTTTATTTATAGACAAAAGGCTAATGAATTAATAGTATTTTGGTTTAAATTTACAATCTACTCTGTATAGTTTTGTACTCGCCGCATACTTCAGATGATTTTTGTTGTCTCTACCTTGACAAATCTTTTTTGAAGGGGCTCTTTCGGGGAAACGAGAGAAATTATATACCCTCCAGAAGCTTGTAATATGGCAAGGGATGGCATTAAAACGAGCTGATTTGGGTACCTTCAAACACATCTCAGTCTTTGCTTCAATGCAAGAGCTTTATGTTATTTCTTCGGTGGTTATAGGGCCATTTCTAGTCGATTCACTCAAGGTTTACACCCAACAATATTAAGCGAGAGACACAAATGGAAAATTTTGTTGTGCAGTGGTATCCAACAAAAAAATTTGAGAGAGAACCGACGTAGTCACCCCTACCAATCGATGATGAGTCGATAATGTGAGGTCTGTTGACTATTGGTTATCGCTTGTCGCTGTTTTTGCTTACGGAGACATATCTTCATGCAGCACAATGGTCTCGATTTCTCAATTCAAAGAAAACAGAGAAAGCGAAACTCCAATGTAGTGCAAGAATCAGGATACTCAGCTGCGTACTTACAAACCGACTGACTAGAAGCCAAGGAAGTCTCTCTGATAACAAAATAACCAGCTATTCGTATCTTTAATTCGCGGAATAGATGTATGCATTGTACTTGGTAGCTCTTCGTATAAGCCACAACCGTGTTACCCAACAAAATCAGCCTGTCAACTTCTTACCCTGTTTGTCTTTCAATCAAAAGAACTCTCTTTGGGGAAAGAGTGGTACAAGTTTGTGATCGGTGCAAGTGCTCACATTGCCATTGAGTACACTGCCGTGCTCATTATCGAATAATTCGGGACCGGTTTCGTCGTATATCCGTCAGCACTGTGTCGTAAAAATTGAAAGAAAAAAGAAAAAAGAAAAAAGAAAAATGCCCTATTCTTGCGACTTTTCGCATCCAATCGGAACTAGAGCTGGCGCGATATCGACCTGTATGGAAACTTCTACTTCGCGCCAAAGTCGTCCTCTCACTCGCTCTCTCGCTCTACCTCCCCTCTTTTCGTCACACTACCTCCACAAAGCGGGATACTGTCGTTTCGCCAACAAAAAAAAAGAATAATAATAATAATAGTAATAAATAAAAGGTTAAGATTGAAAAATTGAAAAAAAAAAAAATAAAATTAAAAATTGGATAACAAAATAAGACCACCCTTTTTCCTTTACTTTTATAAAATACTATCTCAATTGGAGGACATTCCAGAGGATCGTATCTCACTTTGAATCTGGCACAGACACGTGATTTGTTATTTATTCCATTGATATCCCCCTCCCCCTCCCTATATCCATAATGACAGTTAAAGCAACCCACAATGTGGTCCATGAAGCCAACGGTGTAGATTTCAGAGAAACACCAGCACAATTCTTTGCCAGGCAGCCAAACAAGGGTCCGGTCGCAGACTTGCTGCACTATAGAGAATTGTACCAGAAGTCAATTGCTGATCCTGAAGGATTTTTCGGTCCATTGGCCAAGGAACTCTTAACTTGGGACAAGGATTTCCACAAAATCAAGTCGGGAAGCTTGAAAGATGGTGACGCAGCTTGGTTCTTGGGTGGTGAATTGAATGCCTCGTTCAATTGTGTTGATAGACACGCATTTGCCAATCCTGATAAGCCAGCATTGATTTACGAGGCTGACGACGAAAAGGATTCGTATATTGTTACTTATGGTGAATTGTTGAGGGAAGTGTCCAAAGTAGCTGGTGTTTTGCAAAGTTGGGGTGTTGGAAAAGGCGACACTGTTGCTATTTACTTGCCAATGAATGCGCAGGCCATTATTGCGATGTTGGCTGTCACCAGACTAGGTGCTGCTCATTCAGTAATCTTTGCTGGTTTCTCATCTGGTTCTATAAAGGATAGAGTGAATGACGCTAGTTGTAAAGCATTGATTACTTGTGATGAAGGAAAGAGAGGTGGTAAAACCATCAACATCAAGAAATTGTGTGATGACGCATTGGTCAATTGTCCAAGTGTTGAGAAAGTCTTGGTCTACAAAAGAACAGGCAATGAGGAGATCAAATTGAAGGAAGGTAGGGATTTCTATTGGGATTTGGAAACTGCTAAATTCCCAGGCTACATCCCTCCAGTCCCAGTAAACTCGGAAGACCCATTATTCTTGTTATACACCTCGGGGTCAACTGGTACACCAAAGGGAGTTGTCCACACCACTGCAGGATACCTATTAGGAGCGGCAATGACCACAAAGTACATATTCGACGTCCAAAAAGAAGATATACTTTTCACTGCTGGTGATGTCGGTTGGATCACTGGGCATACCTACGCTCTTTACGGACCATTGTTGTTGGGTGTTCCATCGGTTATTTTTGAAGGTACTCCAGCCTACCCAAACTACGGCAGATTTTGGCAAATTGTTGAAAAACACAAGGCCACCCACTTTTATGTTGCCCCTACTGCTTTAAGGTTGTTGCGTAAGGCTGGTGAAGAGGAAATTTCCAAGTACGATTTATCCTCCTTGAGAACATTGGGTTCAGTTGGGGAACCAATTTCTCCTGATATCTGGGAATGGTACAATGAACATGTAGGAAAGAATGAGTGCCACATTTCCGACACCTATTGGCAAACTGAATCAGGATCACATTTGATTGCTCCAATTGCTGGTGTGACTCCAAACAAGCCGGGATCCGCCTCATATCCATTNGCAGCATTGATTGATCCTGTTAGTGGAGTTGAAATTGAAGGAAATGACGTTGAAGGTGTCTTGGTTGTCAAGGACCATTGGCCATCAATGGCAAGAACCGTGTACAGGAACCACACTAAATACATGGACACTTATATGAATCCATACCCAGGTTACTATTTCACCGGAGATGGTGCCGCAAGGGATCATGATGGATTTTATTGGATCAGAGGAAGGGTTGATGATGTTGTCAATGTTAGTGGACACAGATTATCCACTGCTGAGATTGAAGCAGCCTTGATTGAGGATTCCAGGGTCGGTGAAGCAGCCGTTGTTGGTATCAATGATGACTTGACTGGCCAAGCTGTGATTGCCTTTGTTGCCTTGAAGGAAGAAACTAGTGATGAGACTGCACTTAGGAAAGAGTTGATTTTGCAAGTCAGAAAAGTCATTGGACCTTTCGCTGCGCCAAAAGCTGTAATTATTGTGAATGATTTGCCCAAAACTAGATCAGGTAAAATCATGAGAAGAATTTTGAGAAAGATCAGCTCCAACGAAGCTGACCAATTGGGAGATATTACTACATTATCGAATCCACAATCCGTTGAAGGTATCATCAAAGCATTTGGTTTACAATTTGGTAAAAAGTAGCGTGCAATCGATAGAGCAATAATGTTAATAAAACTAGAGTGAGTAAACACATACTCAAAGTTAATTCTACATAAACTATATCTACTCATAAACTATATCTACTCACAATCTATTCATCTAATATTGTTCTATAATCTTCTATGGTTAAGGTATTACCCGGCGACTTGAGAAGTTTCTGTA